CAGAATTAAAAATCCAGAGTCCCATAGTACCAGTATGGCCCACTTAAAGGGAGGGCTGGGATAACAGAAAAAAATCTCTATAGACTTGTGTTACATAGGCAATAAAACATATACCTTTGTAGCATGCCAGCATTTAACCAATCATAGAAGCTATTTGTTGCCTCATATACTACAAAGCAATAGAGATTTAAGGGATAATGTTCATGGAGGCAGAGGATACGAAGCAATAAACAGCACTGGAGGTTGGTTAAATGCCAAGTGAAGCCAGGACTACAGCACCATAAACATTATTCCTATTATATGACAAGATAAGGAGGTACAAGAAGCTGCCCTCAATCCCACCACAACTAGGGCTCTACTGCTATTCTTGGCCTCAGAAAGGGAAAGCAGGCCCTGGAGGTCTATATGAGCTAGTTATGTGTTTCACGTCTCAGATAGATATGAGCAGAACGTCAACCTGTACCTAAATGTCCTCTGGGAAAAGAAAAGATCCAGTAGTAGATATCCTTAGGGAGAAAAAAAAGAGTTAACAGCCCCTCAGGTCACACTGGACAGAGAAACAATCAAAGCGTTTTTCCTTAAAAGGACAGAGTGGATACAGAGTGGTTATGACCAAAACCTTCCTCAATGGCTAATGATGGGGTGATCCTGTTCATTAGAAGTATCTCCTCAGAGGAACTGTGTTCCTGCTCTTAAAGAAACAGATATTCTAGGTAATAAGCTTATATGATCAGCTTCTGCTCAAAGGCTTAGTTATGGTAACCAGAAGGACTACTTAAATCTGCATGATTTGTACTGCAAAACAGTGTCATGTTCCCGAGAGGGAGGTACAGGAATACGGAATTTGTTGACTCCTAGTAATAAAAACTGGGCAAAAAGTGTCCAAAAGGTAAGTTATCTAACCGCATTTACAAATTCAAGATTACTGTCGAAACATAGACTAGTTGACCCTTGAACAACATGGGTTTGAAATGCATAGGTCCACCTATACGTGGATTTTTTTTTTCTGATAAATATAGCACAGTACCATAAATTTTCTCTTCCTTACAATTTTCTTTCTTTCTTTTTTTTTTTTAAAGATTTTATTTATTTATTTGAGAGAGAGAGAATGAGAGACAGAGAGCACGAGAGGGAAGAGGGCAGAGGGAGAAGCAGACCCCCTGCTGAGCAGGGAGCCCGATGTGGGACTCAATCCCGGGACTCCAGGATCATGACCTGAGCTGAAGGCGTCGCTTAACCAACTGAGCCACCCAGGCGCCCTCTTCCTTACAATTTTCTTAACGTTTTCTTTTCTCTGGCTTACTCCAAAGTGAGAATACAGTATATAGTACATATAACATACAAAATATGGGTTAATCAACTGTTTATGTTTTATTGGTAAGGCTTCAGGTCAACAGTAGGCTATTAGTAGTTAAGTTTTTGGGGAGTCAAAAGTTATATGCAGATTTTTAACTCCCCCGTGTGCTCCTAATCCTTCCATTGGCCAAGGGTCAACTATAGTTTTCCCTGCTTCCACAAACAATAGAACAATTTTACAATCCACCTTTAAATAAAAATGTTCCCCAAAGCATCAAAAACAAAAGACTACCTAAATTCAGCACCAAACTAATTTTAATAACACAGAAGGAAAGCCATTTTATAGTCACAATGGTTTTAATTAGATGCTATCTTATAAACATTTCAAAAACCCAAACCACTCAAATTCAACCCAACCCTTTGCCACAGGGTATCTGGGGTACTGTTGCCTTAACAACGTTAACCCATTCTCTGGAGGCAGCTCTATTAACTATTCCTGCTACCACATTCCATAGAGAGGTATTAGCAAGAATATTGCTTTCCCTAAGTTCCTCTTCATGAGAGTGATGAGGCCTCAAGAGAAACAGGGTCTCAACAGGAGAATAGGGATGAGAGGGCTCAAAACACCTATCATCTGTCTTTTCAGATAAGAATGCAAAGAATAGGGCACCTGGGTGGCTCAGTTGGTTAAGCGACTGCCTTCGGCTCAGGTCATGATCCTGGAGTCCCTGGATTGAGTCCCGCATCGGGCTCCCTGCTCAGCAGGGAGTCTGCTTCTCCCTCTGACCCTCCCCCCTGTCATGTGCTCTCTCTCATTCTCTCTCTCTCAAATAAATAAATAAAATCTTAAAAAAAAAAAAGCAAAGAATACAACGTTCAGCAGCCATCTTTCTTTTAAAAAAGTGCATGCAGCATATTTAGAATTCAGCTGTGTCACATCAGACTTACTGTTGGGAAGTAGATCATGAACAGAATCCAAAAATAACAGCCATTAAAGACCTAGCAACCAAAACATGTTTACGTATCCATTGAAAGCCCTGTGGTTTTGATTATATGGTGGACAGCATAATCCACTAGTCTATTTTAGGTGAATTTTCCTTTCACCTTCCCTTAATATTAAGGCGTAAGATGATTTCTGAGTTTAGGGGTACATAGGGTAAAGTCTGAGCAGAGAACAGATACTGAAATAATGCAAGATTCCTATACTTTTTCTCTGCTGGTTGGTTTTTTTAAGGATCAGTCTCTTGAATTCTAATTTGCTTTCATTCCTTCTTCCTCTAAGTGGTAGAAACCACTGATTTTTGAGGCTTCTACGGCAATAAGTTCTAAACCATGTCTTGTAAAAATTATCATGGTCCTTATTACCACTACTGGGATTTACGTAGCTTTTTTAAAAAATTATTCTACTGTGTCTGGAATAAAAATTTTGAATCAATGACAGTGGATTATAAATAGCTTGAAGGCCTCAAGTGGCTCCAGGATGAAACCATTTTCAAGGGATATAAGAAAGCTGGATGACAGGCCAAGGGTAGTTTTGCTTTCCCAAATTTATCTTCCCTGCCAGATTTCTACTATTTCATATAATGGAAAGCAATCATAGTAAAGTAAATCTTGTAGAGATCCCACTTTAGAGTTAATTGTCACTAGATATTGGGAGAAACTTGGAAGGTGACTAAATATAACTACAGAACTACAATTTTTACCTGACCATAAAGTCCTGACATGCAAAGGAGGAAAAGGGACAAATGAATGATGCTACTTTCAATCCTTTTCTATGAAACAAGTAACTTGAATCCAAAAGAAGGTAGCAATCTCCCTGAGTTCCATATCCGCTGAGGGGGAGAAAAGCCTTCAGGACCAACACTAGAGGTTGTAACGAATCTGAACAACCAAAACACCAGCAAACAATTCAGAAATGGGAGGAAGAAGTAGGGGAAGGAAGAGGCTTATGATAAACAGTATCCAACAATACAAAAGGAACCAAAGTAAAAAGGCCCTACTGTTTTTACCACCTCTAGTCCAAAAAATGCAAAACAAAAAGAAACAAACACAAAATCCTCTGGGATCTCACAAATTTCAGTGAAAATTACTCTTTTCTGATGAGAGGGCCTAAAGAAACCCATTTATACCTTTCTTCCTCAGGGAGCTTAAGAGATGCTTTCCCAGTTTATTCCTTTAATTTTATAATCCATTTTAATTTCTTTAAGTCCTTGTCTAGGTGGTTTTAAGCATAAAACATAAGAGGGGCACTGAGAAGCTTAAACAGTAAATGAAGAAAAATAAATATAAGTATGAGAAAAATAAATCTTTTCACCCAAAATGCAGATTTTAAAATGGAGATAAGTGAAAAGGGTCCCAGGTATCAATTATGGAAATCACAGTAAATAGTATTATCAACAAATCCACACACAAAAATTTGGAGGGATCAGGTTCAGATATGTATTCTAATACAGCTGTCTGAAAAATGAAACAAATTTACCCTAATTTCCCAAGTGGCTTCTATTGTAAAATAAAACACAAATCACATGGGGGGAAACAGTCAACAATAACGTTGAAAATTCTGACAAGAAAGGAAATATACCCTACAATGCTGAATACTTCAGAATGCAATGGCTTTTTTAGCCTTTTCTGAAATTTTCAGTGTTTACTGGAATTTGGAATCCTCCTTCTGCTTATTCCTTGTCACTACTCTCATCTCATTCACCTCTCAAATTCCAATTCTTAGGAATCTCTGGAACTTAACTCTCTTCTTTCTGCTTAAGTATTTACAATGTTTAATAGAACTAGTCTGCAATTTCACATACCACCAGTAAGTGTCACTGGGCAGTCACATGGCATATTCCTAACTGAACAGAAACTGAACCCTCAGTTCCATAAAATCAATTCATGAAGGCTGATAAAACTTCCTTTGTATGCTTTTCTTCATCGTTTGTGGAACATGGCAGTAGGGGAGGGTCTAGGAAGAGAAGTTAAGAAGGTACAAAATGGAGGGGGGGGTGTAAAAAGGCAGTTTCAACAAAATTACTTTATTAAAAAAGCATATAATGAAAAATATCTGACACATAAGGTACACATATGCAAACAATAACATGGCAGCTGACACACAACAAGGCATTTCATGGTGTCAGAAAGGGAAGACAGTTGAGAAATCTTGTAGTTTATATACTGCTGTGAGATCTCAGGTTCTATGCTGGATTTGTATTTCCTAGATAGAAAGATATCTGCCTTACCTACCAACGATTTTCTGGATCCACAGTCCAAAGAAACTTTTTTCTTATGTAAAAAATCCAATAGACTCCAACAAATTGGGGTTCACGATGAACAGGTACATTCTCAGCAGCCTACTCTAAATATGTTAAGCACACTTTTATATCCACGAAGGCTGAGGAAAAGATATTTCTAAACTTGTTTTATATTTAGATGGATAGCTTTAGAAAGCAGGAGAGAGCAACATGTATTCCTCAACACTGTGTGTTGGGAAACAAACACTGGTAGAATAACAATATGAAAGAGAGCAAGGCAGATTTCATTACGGTAGAGTGCCTACACTTCCTCATAACATGGATTTACACACTGCAAATCCTCTGATCTGATTACCTCCAGTGATCACGTAAAATACCGGCTTTAAACTCTTTGCCTTAGTGATAAAACAGCCACTTTGATTCACAACGAGACATTCACAATAAAGTATATTGTAAACGTACCTGTCCACAGCCCGGGGCATTGCACACAAATGGTCTGTCGTCTCCCATATTTCATATAGCAGAGCGGAGCTGAGGAGGGGGAGGCAGGGGGAAAAGTTATGTTAAATACTCTGGAGTTAAAAAAAAAAAAAAGTGCTTCAAAAATATCAAGGCTAGAAACAGGTGTTCCAAGAATGCTGTCTATGAAAGCTAAAACACAGGCTACTTTGGGGAGACCCATTAGACAGGTGGCATATGATCTACTGCGCCTCAACTGAAACTTTTAATTAGAAAAATTGAGACCTAAATAGTCAAGGAATTTCAAACCTTTGGTAGATTTTCCCTCTTTCTTCTACAGTATATAACACACTCCTCTAGTCTGCTGAATTACAATCAGTGCAGTTCCCCATGTCAATAAATCCACTGAACATTCGATGCGGAAGCCATATTTCTGAACTACAGAAGACCAAAATTTGTCATTTAATTAATTAAGGGATTATAGGAGGGGTGCTCCATTTTACAGGGCTATAATCTGGCTCCCTGGTGTATAAACTACGAGACTGTTGGCAAGGGCCGTTTATCCCAGATTATTGCCAAAGAAAACAAAGCACCCATCCTATTGGGCTGCATGGGAAATGATTTTCATTAATAAAAAAATAAAAATAAAAACCTTCTCTCCCCACTGGGAGCCTCCTTCTCCCCCCACCAATCGTCTGTGGCAAATGGAGAAATATCGGTGCCCTTCCCCCTCTAATTCTATTTATGGCTAGGATTTTAAAAGCAGCAATAAAACAAATGTCGACTCTTTGGGGGTTTACTGGGTGAATATGTTCCGGCTGTTTGTGCCGCTCTCGGCCAGAGTTCTTGGGCTGCTCTGTTGCAGCCAACAGATGTGTTGCTGCTGCAGGGGATAAAAGAAATGGCACTAAAAAAAAAAAAAAAAGAAATGGCACTAAAAGGCATCACCATCCATCCTCTCTATTTCTCTGAAGAATTTAACAGGGCTTATACTGTTCTTGTTCTTTAAGTATTGAAGCTAAACTTGAAATGTTGATCGAAATTCTTTGTCAAAGAACAATAATTCCAATACAAATGTGTTGGGGAAATATCTCATTTCCCAACTAGGAATAAAAATAGAGGTGGAGGGCGCCTGGGTGGCTCAGTTGGTTAAGCGACTGCCTTCGGCCCAGGTCATGGTCCTGGAGTCCCGGGATCGAGTCCCGCATCGGGCTCCCTGCTCGGCAGGGAGTCTGCTTCTCCCTCTGACCCTCCTCCCTCTCATGCTCTCTGTCTCTCATTCTCTCTCTCTCAAATAAATAAATAAATAAAATCTTAAAAAAAAAAAGAGGTGGAGATGGATAAGGATGAGAAATGCAAATCATAGTAAAAATATTCCTATAAGATAAACTTGTTTTTGTTTTTTTAAGATTTTATTTATTTATTTGAGACAGAGAGAATGAGAGAGAGCACATGACAGGGGGGAGGGTCAGAGGGAGAAGCAGACTCCCCGCCGAGCAGGGAGCCCGATGCCGGACTGGATCCAGGGACTCCAGGATCATGACCTGAGCCGAAGGCAGTCACTTAACCAACTGAGCCACCCAGGCGCCCGATAAACAGGGTTTTGAAGGGGGGGGGGCACAAAAATAGTCTTCATAGGAAAAACTCCTAAAGGATATTTTCGAACATCCTTCTACAAGAAAGGAAGGTGTAGAAAACAGTATTAACAAGGGAAGATGAAAGAGGAAGAACTATAATTTGAATATGCCTAGAAACAACTTCAGAACTGTAACTAAACTCAAATTTTTATCTTGGAGATAAACCAAAATATCAGGTTAACCTCAGTCAGGTCTGCATTAAAATAAAATGTTAAAGTGCTAGACTGAATTTGGTAATCAGAAAACCCTGCTTAAAACTCAGAGGGGAGCTAGGTAACATCTCTCCAACTCTCTTAAGACTCACTCCGGGGTTGGAAACCAGTATATCTGGTGCTCTGATCAGTAATTCCACAACTAATCAGTGTTTAAAATTGTGGGGTGCCCCCCAAAATAGAAAGGGCTTCTTAGTCATCTTTCAGTGTGCTAGGAACAGGGTCTAACTATGAAGGAAACTGATGCTGCAGCATTGCTGTAATGGAAGAGAGCCTGTATGTACATAGGTATACATAGATTTATATCACATTTAGCCAGGATAAATTGCTTCAATAAATTCTATTCCTAGGAGAAGCCAGCTGAAGCTGATGATTGGGTACTGGGAAAATGAGAGCTTTATTCTTCTTCACACAGCCCCAGGACAAGAGGTTTTCTGGTTTGTTTGTTTTAAATACATGATGATTTTTTAGCACTTTCTGGAACTATGACATAGTGCAAAAAATAAACATAAAGTAAATAAAAGTAAATAAATGCAAAGACCATGGCCATTATGACTGAAAATTCAGGACATTTCTGGAAAGCAATTCATTTCTGGAAAAATCCCTAACTGCTGTGCTGAAGATAATTTCACCTCCTAGTCCCAAACCCTGCTTTCCTAATATAATCATGAAATGAGAATTTTATCTCAACAAGGTCCTGTAGCATATTTTCAACCAGGAAGTAAACTACAAGGACTAGAGCAGACATAACATAAGGACCAGGTGGGACTCCTTCCTTTTACCTTGTTTCTGTTATTTGAGGCTAAATTTTCTGTTTTCTACCTAGTTAGAGGAGAAAAAGAGGGCTTGCTGGCTGAGCAGTAGGGCAGCACTGGCATAGGAAGTGACTGAATAAACTCTGGAATGGTTTCCCTCCAACCACAAAATTCAAAATTTAACTTGGTTTTGTACAATCATATCACAATATATGGCTTCCAAATTTTATTTAACTGTATCCTTACTAGGAAATAGAAATGAAAAAGCATGATTTTCTAAAGAAAACAAAAGGCAAAACCAAGTTGGGGGAAAAGTATTAAATGTAAAAGAAGCAAGCATTTTCATGGCTCTTAAATACTCAAATCTGACGATCACTAACTAGGATTTCCTGCTTCCTTCCCACTTTACTGGCTTTTTGTTTTCCCATTTTCACCAAAAGGAGGATCACAATGGGAGGAAGAAGGCCCTCTTTCTTAAATACCCAGAATTATTTTGAAATCATTCCTCAGTCTCTTGCTCCTTTTCATTTCCATCATTCTTGCTTTTTCACTTTAGGGTGATTTGTCTTTTTTAAGAATTAAATATATAACAACAATAAATAATGATCTGTTCTCCTACTTAAAAAAAAAAAAAAATCCAGGGGCGCCTGGGTGGCTCAGTCGTTAAGCATCTGCCTTCGGCTCAGGTCATGATCCCAGGGTCCTGGGATCGAGCCCCGCAGGAAGCCTGCTTCTCCCTCTCCCGCTCCCCTTGTGTTCCTGCTCTCGCTGTCTCTCTCTCTCTGTCAAATAAATAAATAAATAAAATCTTTAAAAAAAAAAAATCCAGCTTACATCTTTTTAAATTCCCAGTCAGCTTAATCAATAGCTACATATAAGGAATGCCATTGCTTATTTCTATTTGATACTTAAAACAAATCTCTAATTATGAGAGAGGTCAAACTGATGCCTTCTCAAGAACAAAAAGCAGCACATTTCTGTAGTATAAACAGGCTGAGACAAAGGTGAAATCTTGAATAAAGATGCTGCCATTTGCTAGAATTTAACTCATGGCCCATTTGTAACTGTACTACTTGACACGTAGATCACGTGTCTAGGCGTGACACTCAAGTCTGTCATCTACTCCTCAATCTATTCCTCAGGATGAAACTCAGCATTTTACACAACTAACCAATAAATGACAGGCAAAGGATACACACATTAAGAGACATTTCCAGGAGGAAGTGAGATGCTTTCAGAGGAGATCTTAGAACAGGAAAACAAAGATGAAGAAAAAGGCCGTCCTAGAGGCCAAGTCTGCAGAAGAAAAGGCTCATGTACTCGGGAGTCACCAGAATGCATAAATGATAAAAATTACTATTTACTCAAAAGAGAGAAAGTTATTTGAATGCTGGGAGAGAAGTGAAGAAAATCCAAAGTTTAGAGACTGATTTTTAATAACTGGGATAATTTCATAAAATCTATGTTAAACAGTTTTGTCAAAACCAGAAGTATATCCTAAAATGGTCAATGTGCAAATAAGAGAACTGATTTTCTATGTATATACATATACACATGTATATATACACACACACACATATATATGCATATCTATCTTTTTTTTCTTTCTTCTTTTTTAGTAGAATGAGGATGAAGTCTGTCACTGAGGACTACAAAATCAATTCTCTGGACCCAGCTATAATGTGATTATCTCTTTAGTAACTAATTGCTGTTCATAAAATGGCCCAACTTTAGTAAGGAATAAAAGCCATGTACAAACACACCCAGGGGCCTGTTCTTAGGTTCCTTTTTTTTTTTTTTTTAAAGATTTTATTTATTTATTTGAGAGAGAGAATGAGAGACAGAGAGCACGAGAGGGAAGAGGGTCAGAGGGAGAAGCAGACTCCCTGCTGAGCAGGGAGCCCGATGTGGGACTCGATCCTGGGACCCCAGGATCATGACCTGAGCCAAAGGCAGTCGCTTAACCAACTGAGCCACCCAGGTGCCCTGTTCTTAGGTTCCTAATAACAAAAAGCAGATACTGCTAAGTATAAAAAATGAGAAGGGCATATGCACCATTAATATCAAAAATTCATGAAAATCTAGAAGGGGTTCAGACTAGCTATCATTCATTCATTCAAAAAACATTACTAAGGAACTAAGTGCCAGGCAAAGTGGACATAAAAAGACAATAATCCTTTGCAAAAAAAAGAATCTTTCACTCATCTTCAAAGAAAAACTAGAGTTGGACAGTAGTTAAAGCAGTAAAAAAACAGTTTTTAGTCAGAACTATTGCAATAGGGGAAAAGAGATCTCAGTACAGAACTGGGCTCAATTCTGAAAACATCAGGGGCAAATGGAAATTTATAGCCAAGGACCATGGTGGGGGCTAATGGATGGAAAAGTACTAAGAGGAAACATCAGGAGAAGGGGATTCTGACTAAACCGACCTAACAAGATTCTTGCTAAAGATAGGCCAGGATGATGAT